ATGCGACTGCTGCAGCACACGCAGTTGTACGGAGAGGTGGAGCAGGCACCAGCCAACATGTCTCACATCCTAAGGGCTAAACATCTCCCTAAACCCTAACCCTAAACCCTAAACCCTAAACCCAAAACCCTAAACCCTAAACCCTAAACCCTAAACCCTAACCCCTAAACCCGAAACCCGAAACCCTAAATCTACCTAAACCAAAAGAAACCCGGGACCGCCTAAAAGCCCAATAGGCGCCTCAATCCGAAAATCCCTGAGACCCAAAGCATTCCAGGCCAGATGAATAAGACTTTGTTGGTTTAGGGTTTAGGGTTTAGGGTTTAGGGTTTAGGGTTTAGGGTTTAGGGTTTAGGGTTTAGGGTTTAAATGATATGAAGGGAGCACTAAGAATAGAGCTACGGGTGGAATAAAGTGAAGCGCGTGAACTGTGCTATTATGCGAACCAAGATGCACCTTTATCATTGGGATATTCAGGGTCCCTATATACTTTATTTTCAGGTCCTGTATATATATATATATGTATATTAAATATCCATGTACTTGCGTTTACTCGGTCTTTTCATTCGTCGGCATGTTTCGCAATTCATATGGTTCCTGCGAAAAGACCGCATCAATATGTTACTTTATGGGGTCGTCAACGCTAATTTACTTCGGGCACGTTCAAGTCTTTCAAGTTGTGCCCGTGTGTAATCGTATAATAAGAGAACGAAGTAAGAACAATGAAGAAGATTACAAACGAACGCAGTGAGTGCGTGAGTCTCATGAACAAGTGAACGAGTGCAATTCTGGATTATGGTGAAAGGTTTTGGGGCTAAGCCCAACACCCTACCTGAACCCTAAGCTCTAGACCGTTTTAGATTTTAGGGTTTGGGGGTTTGCAGGGAGTAGGCCTTGAGCAGCTTCGACAATGGATCACCAGATGGGGATCCCTCAATCCGGAAATGCCTACATTCCTGACCCTAAACCCTAAACCCTTAATCGTTAATGGTTAATTATTACAGAGGAAGAAAATCAGGACCCCCGAATCCCTGCCCTACCTAAGCCCGAAGCCCTAAAACCCCAGTAGCCCTATAGCAAAAAGTAGAAAACAATCAGTAAAGCACAGCTATACAAGCTCCCAAACCCTAAGCAACATCCCCCCCGAAAAAACAAAATCAACCCCATGCCTTAAACCCTGAACCCTAAACCCTAAACCCCAAACAATAAACCCGAAAGCCTAAACCCTGAACCCTCCCGCTCCCCCACCGGAGGCCCTCGGTAAGCTCGACTCGCAGTCCCATCCCGTGGCCGAGGCGCCAGCGGTTTGGGGTTTTAGGGTTTAGGGTTTAGGGTTAGGGTTTAGGGTTTTAGATTTTGTGGTGTTCTTATGGGAGTCCTTAAGGGAGGGGTTACGGGTGTGACCTCTTTGTCGCATGCGGCGAAAGTTGTTTGCAGCATTCCGCTTTGCTGCGAGGTTGTGACTTACGAACAGGTCGAGCGTCCGTTTCACACCGCGGCCGTCAAGTGCGTCGCGTCAAACATGGGCGTGACGCGCATCCGGTGTCACAGCCCGGGGGTCTTCACTGGACTAGCCGCTGCCCGTGTGCTGCCCCCGGTTGTCTTCACGTTTGCTGCCTTCGCTGGAGTTGGCAGTGCTACCGGCTTCGTGACTGCAGTGGATCTTATCACAGCTGTGGTGGCTGTGTTCTTCCCAGTCCAGGTGGCAACGGTTCGGCCCGTACGTTAGGGTTTAGGGTTTAGGGTTTAGGGTTTAGGTTTAGGGTTTAGGGCTTCGGGTTTAGGGTTTCGGTTTGGGTTTAGGGTTCAGGGTTCAGGGTTCAGGGTTCAGGGTTCAGGGTTCAGGGTTCAGGGTTCAGGGTTCAGGGTTCAGGGTTCAGGGTTCAGGGTTCAGGGTTCAGGGTTCAGGTTTATAGGTCATGGCTGAGTAGGGACCTAGTTACATACCCCCCCTACAACCCCCCTCCCTTAAGAACCGTATAATTGATAGACCAGTGTCACCCCTTTGCCCCCTTTTAAGCGGTTCAAGTTAGTTAGGCTCCCTTAAGAATTACCCAACCTAAAAAAGTGTACCATTTTTATAGTATGGCTACTGGGCTGCCAAGGGCTAAGGGTTTACGGTTTACAGGGTTGAGGGGTTTAGGGTTTGCAGTTTAGGGTTCAGGGTTTGGGCTTTAGAGTTTAAGGTTTTGGGGTTCAGGGTTTTGTGGTTTCGGGTTGGGGGTTTAAAGGGTTTGCGGTTTAAGCTTTACGGGTTTAGGGTTTAGTCGGTTGGGGGGGCTTGGGGGTTTGCGGCTTAGGGTTTGGGGTGGGGGTTTGGGGTTTAAGGTTTCGGGTCTAGGGGTTAGAGTTCGGGTTCAGCGCTGTTTAGGGTTTTGTGTCTCGGTTAGGAGAGTTCAAGGTTTCGGGTTCGTCCTTTCCCTTTCTTTGAGGGTTCAAGGCTCTAGGCCTCCTTATACCGCTAATGAGAGAAAGAGGTCCTCAATCTTGCTCTCCAGCCCTAAACCCTAGACCCTAGACCCTAAACCCTAAACCCTAAACCCTGAACCCCGAACCCCAAACCCTAAAGCCTAAACCAAAACCCACTCTGTGAAGCATAAATTGTGGGATAGATGCAACTCTGGTTTGGCCCTCGCCCGAAGTGCTGAACCCCGAGCCTTCAACCTTGCACCGACATGCCGGGAGCACCCCGGATTTTAGGGTTTAGGGTGTGGGGTGTAGGGTTTAGGGTTTAGGGCGTTCTACGCAAGATTCGGGCTTGGGGTTTCGAGTCCTGAGGTCCCTGAAGCCTGTGATTCGGGGTCGAAGCGTCCGGGGGGCTCTACATCTTGGGGCTTAGAATACAGGGCTCAGTAGGCTTAGAGGCCAGCTGATCAGATCCCAAACCCTAAACCCTAAACCCTAAACCCTAAACCCTAAACCCTAAACCCTAAACCCTAAACCCTAAACCCTAAACCCTAACCTTTAAACCCTAAACCCTAAGCCCTAAACCCTAAACCCTAAACTCCCATCTCCATGGTGACGTTCTCAGGCCCTGTCGGAGTCGCTCCAACGACTGCAGCTTTGCTGACTCAACCCCAACCAGCCCCCCCTCGAATGGGCGTGCTTGGGGTTTAGGGTTTAGGGTTTAGGGTTTAGGGTTTAGGGTTTAGGGATTAGGGATTAGGGTTTAGGGCTGAAGCCATGCTATTATTCAACCTTCACTCTTCATGAAGGACTGGTTCAGTGTTGAGTGTACCACACGAAGCCTCAGCCCCCTGAAGCCCAAACCCCTCAACCTTGTCAGGTCTCTGTGTTGTTGGCGCTTTCAATATTCGGGGAGGGCAGAGCATTAGTTAGTGTGGAGTCAAGAATTTGTACTGCAGTGCTGCACTATTTTTTCCTTTTTGGCGTGCCTGAATTTCTGCAGCCTCCTTTGACGAAAACAAAGTTCGGAACTACATCGCACATCGACATCCGGGCTCCGGAAGCCCTTGGAAGCTGAATTGGGCCACACACCACCCCCCTCCTCCCCCCCCTTAAGGGTTTAGGATTTAGGGTTTAGGGTTTAGGGAATGTTTAGGGTTTAGGGCCGGGCCCCCTGGTTCAGGTTCAGGGGGCCCCAGTTTTGTCGATTCCGGGGCTTACTATAGTTACTAATAATATTCCCTGATGGTCCCTGTGTAAGTATACCATAACAGCCCCCAAAACTATTCCTAATCATTCAGGCCCTAAACCCTAAACCCTAAACCCTAAACCCTAAACCCTAAACCCTAAACCCTAAACCCTAAACCCTAAACCCTTTTATAGGGTGGGGTTGTAGAGGTCGACCCTTCCGACTCAAACTTGACGGAGACCAGGAAGCGCGCAGACGCTGCGGTCCTGGCGCAGGCGGCCAGTTGCCCCAAACCCTAAGCCCTAAACCGTAAACCCTAAACCCTAAACCCTACACCCTACACCCTACACCCTAAACCCTAAACCCTAAGCCCTAAGCCCTAAACCCAAAACCCTAAACCCAAAACCCTAGGCCCTAAACCCTAAACCCTACATGATCTTCAGCCTGAACGTGACCCACCCCGTAGCCCTAAGCTCCTCAAATCCTAAAACCCCTGAAGCCATAAACCTTAAGCCTTGCACCTCTGGGGTTTAGGGTTTAGGGTTTAGGGTTTAAGGTTCAGGGCGCCACTTGATATCTGTATTTCCAAAGTAGGGGCTGTTGGGGTTTAGTTGAGGGCCAGGAGTTTGGAGTTTATATGGGGCGTAGGCCAGGAGTGCTTAGGGGCTCTGTAGGTCTTGGACCCCCACCCGGTACCCTAGTTTTGAATATAGACGGATGAGAGCTGTGTGTCCCAGTAGTTCCACTGATCAGGGGCATTGTTGGCCGTCAGCACGATGGGGCCTTCGTGCAAGAGAGTCGCTTTGGGAAGAAGTGTGTCGTGCCAAGCCTGCAGAACAGCGGCAGAGTGGCAGGCACGTTGACCTTGCGGGGTCGAGGTGGGAGGGGCCTGTGGAGAAGGCTCTGAATCACCGAAGTAGAGATGGAACTCCTCCTTGCGATTCAGGCCGGAGACGCAAACAACGGGCATTGACCAAGTTACAAGCAACTGCCGATTGAACACAACCTTGGATGGCTTTTTGTGGCTACCAGACGAAATTCGGAATTCGATAATTTGCTCACGAGCGCTTGCTGCTGGGATTCTCGATCCAATAAAGTCTCTGCAGAGCAACTCTCCACTCCGACTATTCGAACGAGCTGCCCCGTTCTTTGTGCAATTTTGATGGCCCCCCATTGTCCCAAGCCCCTAGCTCAGCCCTCTTTGTACCCAGCTCTGAACCCTCGAGCCGTCGTCACGAGTGTTGTACCCAAGACCCTCAACCCCCAAGCCCTCAGCCCCAAACCCTGAACCCCAAGCCCTACACCCTAAACCCTTAACCCCAAGTCCTAAATCCTAAACCCGTAACCCCAAGCCCTCAACCCTAAACCCTTTACCCGAAGCCCTATGCCCTAAACCCTGACCCCTACAACTTGGGATGTTCCCCCCTATACTGACAGTCCTTCTTGGGGATTATAGTACCCTTTATGATCATCCCTATTAAGGACTGTTAGTACAAGGGGGAACATCCCAACGTACAGCCTTAAACCCTAAACCCTAAACTCTAAACCCCAAGCCTTAAATCCCAAACCCGAACCCCTGCAACCATAGGCCTAGACCCTGACCCCTACAACCAAAACCCTAGACCCTTAGCCCCAAGCCCTTTGCCCTAGACCCTACCCCGTAAACCCTAAATCCTGACCGACCCTAAACCATAAGCCCCAAGCCCCAAGCCCCAAGCCCCAAACCCTTAACCCTAAACCCTAAACCCTAAACCCTAAACCCTAAACCCTAAACCCTAAACCCTAAACCCTAAAACCCTAAAACCCTAAAACCCTAAAACCCTAAACCCTAAACCCTAAACCATCAGGGCCTGCGCTCCTCGCAGTTGATCTCGGCCTAGTCCCCAGCTCCTGTCTATGCGACATCTTTAAGCTTCATAACGTTTAGGGTTCAGGGTTCAGGGTTCAGGGTTTAGGGTTCAGGGTTCAGGGATCAGGGTTTGGGGTTTAATTCTGGTTTAGGGTCTCGGGTTCCGGGCTCAGGGTTTAGGGCTTAGAGTTTAGGGTTTAGGGTTCAGGGTTTGCGGCTCAATTATGGTTTAGGGTTTAGGGTTTAGGGCTTTGTTTTCAGGGTTTAGGGTTGGGCTTCATAGGTGGGGGTGGAAGGGGCACGGCGTTCTATTTCGTAGGGTTCAGGCTGATGGACCTTCTTCGGGTATTTCCCAAAATAAGGGGGTATAAAGGGACCCCATAAGGGTACCCCCTATTTTCGGAAATCCTCGCTTCGGGATCTAAAGCCGAAAAATGTCACCGACATTGGGCTAGATGCTTGTTTGGGGGTAGGGGCTCTTGAGCCCTAAACCCTCTACACCTGTACTACGCCTTAAGCCCGAGACGCTAAACTTTAACGTAATGATCCTGCTCTTGAACAAAATCAACCCTACACCCCAAAGCCTCCCAAAACCCTAAACCGCAAATCCTAAACCCTAAACCCTAAACCCTAAATCCTAAATCTTAACCCTCAACACCCCGACCCTAACACCCCCCGAAGCCCCGCAATATCATCCGAAGGGTGCATGTACCGATATGGTATATACTTGGGCCTCCAAAGGGGTTCCCTAAACCCAAAACGATAAACCCTCAACCCTTAACCTGAACCCTAAACCCTAAGCCCTAAACCCTAAACCCTAAACCCCGCTAAACCCTAAACCCTAAACCCGAAACCCCGACTCGCCAGGATGCCCTCGCCGAGCCTTCCGCGCCCTCCGGAGGCCTCTCCTGGTTGGCGAATGGGCCGAGCTTCCTCGTCCAGGCCCATGGTCCTCAGGGTTTAGGTTTAGGGTTTAGGGTTTTGGGTTTTGGGGATTTGGGGGCATTTGGGGGTTTGGGGTTTAGGGTGTAGGGTTGCGAGTTTAGGGTTTAGGGCATAGTGTCTAGAGTCTAGGAGTTGTTTGGGATTTAGGGTTCGAATTCGTGGTTCGGGTTTAAGTTGGGCTCAGTGTGTCTTCGGGTCTGGCGCGTTGGGGTTTAGGCCTGCTTCTTGCTGGTTCTTCGTGGGGAATCGGGAGTTATCAACGAGCTCCAGCAAGCTCGGGTGGAAAGTTCGTCCGAAACAGCATCAACTTGAGCACCTCGCTCTTGACTTCGTCAGGACGAACCCTCGCTACGACTGTAATTATTTGGGCGAGGACATGATTCGCCGGACAAAGCAGCTGCTCGTGCCACCCGGGACATGTCAGCGGGCACGTTCTGTTGAGATGTACTCTACAAGTTGCTCCTCGTTACCGTGAGCGGTAGTGCAAAAAGAAGCACTGCGTGATCTCAATTTCGGTGACCGGGGCTATATAGTTCTAATCCGTGAAGTCTAAACCCTAAAAACCCTAAGCTGTTTTTTTTCACCCCGTCTTTTTTTGCTGCATTTCTCAAGCCATCCGGGCCCATGTTCTGCCCGGCCGCAACAGACCTCATAACTATCATAACGCAGTCGACCTTATAACAGCAGCGACTGTCGACCTCATAACGCAGTCGACCTTTAAACGGCAGCCGCCCTTATATGTGAAGTCGAAGCATCCTTCCTGGTAGTGCCCTACAGTGGACGGTTTAGGGTTTGGGGCTGCAGGGCTATATAAGGTGGACACAAAGTACAGTACCTTATTCCCTGTTATTCCCTGGGTTTGAAACAGCAAGACTTTGCGTGAAGGCGGGAGCGCACGGTGTTCGCCTTTAGGCAGCGTTAAGGAGTTTAGGAGGTTTTAGGGATGTGTTGGGGGTTCAGGGGGTGGAGGGGGTTGAGGTGCTTTAGGGTGTTTAGGGTGTTTAGAGTAGGTCCTTGGGAGTGGAGCATCACCGGGTCGCGACTTCGGGCCAAGGAAAGATCCATGCGCTCTATCTTGCCCCCTTAGTCTCCGCGGAGAGCAACACCAGAAACCTCAAGGTCGCAACCCTAAACCCTAAAACCCTAAACTATAAACCCTTAGCCCCAAGACCCTAAACTCTAAACTCCTAAACTCCTAAACTCCTAAACTCCTAAAACCCTAAAACCCTAAAACCCTAAAACCCTAAAACCCTAAAACCCTAAAACCCTAAAACCCTAAAACCCTAAAACCCTAAAACCCTAAACTCTCCCTTTCGAGTCTTCAAAGGCTCTGGAGGCCCTGGTCGACGGCCGGGAGTACCAAACTCGGCTCGGGGATGAGGTGGGCAGGGTTGAGGGTTGAGGGTTGAGGGTTGAGGGTTGAGGGGTTGAGGGGTTGAGGGGTTGAGGGGTTGAGGGGTTGAGGGGTTGAGGGGTTGAGGGGTTGAGGGGTTGAGGGGTTGAGGGGTTGAGGGGTTGAGGGGTCTAGGGTTTAGGGTTTAGGGTTTAGGGTTTCGGGTTTAGGGTTTAGGGTTTAGGGTTTAGGGCCAGGGCTTAGGGTTTAGGGTTTTAGGCCCATGAGGGTGCAGGCTTTCGAGCTTCGGGCTCTTACGGCTTTAAGGCTCGCGGTTTAGAACTTGGGGTTTAGGATTTCGGGTTTAGGTTTTAGGGCTTGGGGTTGAGAGCTCAGGCGAGCTTCCAGACGGCTATAGGATTCAGACCCTAAACCCTAAACCCTAAACCCTAAACCCTAAACCCTAAACCCTAAACCCTAGGGCTTCGACCTGAGGGCTTTGGACTAAACAAGAGCTTGGGGCTCAGTATGTTTTGCATTCGCGATATACATCTCTGTCCGTGTTCTGAGACAGAAGAAAGCAGTACCTACTTCTGAGGGTTTAGGGTTTAATTTTGCAGGGTTTTACGGTTTAGGGTTTTAGGGTTTAGAGTTTGGGGTTTAGGGTTTTAAGGTTCAGGGTTTAGGGTTTAGGGTTTAGGGTTTATGGGCCTTATCTACACTCCAGAACTTCCCTAACAGGCACCACAGAGCTCCCTCAACCAGACTAGCGGCCCTCCTTCGCAGGTGCGGCAGCGACAGCAGGCTTTGCACTTCTGTGCCCTAAACCCTGATTAAACCCTAAACCCTAAAGCTTAAAGCCCAAAGCCTAAAGCCTTACCCTAGGCCTTGAGTCAATGAGGGAATGTTGGGAGTTGGGACGAAATGTTGGGAAGCAGCTGCCCTAAATAGAACCTTGCAGGGTTTCATTGGGAGGTATATGATTCTGGGGTTTGGGGTTTAGGGTGTACAGGCGTTTTGGTGTTTCAAGTGTTCGAGGTTTGAGCACCACTCCCGTGAACCCGGGAAGAAAAAACCTGAACCCCAGCCTTTGAAATAAACGGCCCTAAACCCAAGAGCCAAATGTTTCCCAAGAACTCCAGGGTTTAGGGTTACAATAGGGACCAGAGTTTCCCCGAAACCCGAAACTCTACACCCTAAACCCCAAAACCTCTTGAAGAACCAGCAAGCTCATAACCGACGAAGGCGGTTCTGCCCACCTTGCAATCTGCCGCATCCGTGACGGCAGACGTGCTGAAGGCGGTCTTTGTTTTTACCAGTTTGGGAATCTTGCATGTGAGGGTTCAGGGTTTAAGGGTTTAGGGCTTAATTAGGCTTTAGGGTTTAGGGTTTAGGGTTTAGGGTTTGGCTTGCGTGCGTTGCCTCACCCTGAAGGAAACTCGTCTCGCCTCCGCGCGCGCCTTCGATGTTTTGAAGTACGACATCTACACGCCAGGCTCCGTGCCCGAACGCCTACTTGGAGGTTCGTGGTACGTATAAACCAATTATGACTGTATTTATAATAACCCGCTTATAAGCCTTATAGTGACCCTAATGTGGTGGTAATCGGGCTATACGTGCAGTTAATATTTGGGCCATTAAGTGAGCCCTAGCCTTTCTGGCCCCAAGCCCATACCTATAAGCCCCACAAAGACCCCAAACCCCGAAACCCCAGGCTGGGTCTTATAATACAATATTGCCAGGTTGAACCCCAAGGTTGATATTCTGGTCCTAAACCTCTGGCCCGAAACCCTAAACCCCAAACCCTAAACCCCTGAACGCCAGGTGCCACCAAGACCCCGGAGCCTGTAAAACGTGCGGCAAACGCGTTGGTGGAGGCCACTTCTCCAGGGTTCAGGGTTTAGGGTTTAGGGTTTAGGATGCTTAGAGTTGTTAGGGCGTCGGGTGTTGGGGTTCAGGTTTCCATGGAGGCCGAGCTTGTCAGCCCTGGGCCCTGGACCCTAAACATTAAAAACCTAAACCCTAAACTCGTGATAACAGCACAAGGCCGCTACACTTTTGAAAGCAAAACAACCTAAATCCTGAACACCAAACCCTGGTATGTGAAAGAAAAAGACCTCACAAAACCTCAAATGCCCGACCCGAGGCCCAAAGCCCTCGACTGTGTAGCCTGCCCGGCCCAACCACCGGCCATTGTGCCACAAGAACTTAAACCCTGAACCCTAACCCCTATACCCTAAAGCCTACAACCATAAATCCCTGTTAAGGTAGTTTGGAAGGGGGGTGAAGGGGTCGGGAAGGGGGCAGGGGCTGGAGGGGCAGGGGGGTGGGGGTCTTGCCTTTTCTAAAGGGTTCTCGGTAATGTAACTACCCTTAGAAGGGCCCGCATCCTTCTGCGCTCCCCATCCAAAACCCGGATGTATTCAATCCCTGAACCCTAAAGCCTAAACCCTAAATACACATGGCCCTAAAGCTGCTATGCGGGAATCCCTTACAAGGCCCAGGCATAGGGCCATTGGGGTGATTGCAGTGCGAGACCCTCAGTACTGATGCCTAAATCCTGATCCCTAAGCCCTAAACACAAAGCCCTGAACCCTAAGCCCTAAACCCTAAACCCTAAACCCTAAACCCAAAGCCCGAACCGGTGAGTTTCAGGCTTCATCGGAGACCCGCCGTCGCTTCACGCACTTCATCAGTAGCATGGTGGGCGGCTTATAGGGCTGAGGCTTCAAGGGTTTGGCCAGGGTTTAGAGTTTAGGGTTTGGGGTTTGGGGTTTGGGGTTTAGGGTTTAGGGTTTAGCGTTTCGGGTTTGAGGGTTTGAGTGTTTGAGTTTAGGGTTTGGGGGTTGGGGTTTGGGGTTTAGGGTCATTTGCTAAGACCTGAAACCCCAAAAGGTAAAACCCTAAGTCATTTGGGCTTATGTTTCTGTGTTCGGGAGCTTTGACGGTCATTTGGGGCCTGGGGAAGGGTTTTTTGATAAGGCAAGAATGTGGTGGAAAGGACCGGGGGCGATATTACTTACTAGAGTTTAGGGTTTAGGGTTTGATTGGGGTTTAGGGTTCATAGTTTATAGGGTTCAGGGTCTAGGGGTTAGGGATGATTAAGATCCTTATTTTGGGAATATGGGGCCCTTACAGCCCCCGTCCCTTCCACCCCCTTGGTTCCTTCTGAGTTTAGGGTTTGGGCTTCAGGGCCACGAGCTCAGCAGCTCGACCCTTCCTTGCTCAGATCCCAAATCCCACAGCCCGAAGCCCTAAAAGGGTGTAGGGGTTAGGGGTTTAAGGGGTAGGGGTTTAGGGTTTAGGGTTTATGTAGGGTTCAGGGTTTAGGGCGACTCGTTCTGACTCGAATATTGCCCTGAAAGCCGTTTCTGTTTCGTGCGATCAGAGGTGAATGGCCCTTAGTGCTAGGAGAGCTCTCACTTCCCTTGGCCACGGAGGGGCAGGGATGGGTGGCAGAAGGCTTGCTCTCTCTGTACCAGCACCTGTGGACAGTTCGGGGCTGGCTGAGGGGGGCCCGGCCACTTTTGGCACTCACACATCTCAGACCCCTTCAAGGGGTTTCACCATGCAATTTAATTAGGCAGCGACCTACTCTGATCGCCCTGAAAGCAATAATATGCTAGCATCGTGGCAGATGTTTGATATTAGTGGGTAGGGGGTGTAGAACGCCACTGGGATGGGGTTGTATCTTGTCTTGAAAAAGAACACGCATAGCAGGCCGAATGTATGCTTCATGAGGGTATGTATTTGGGCCCTGAAGTAGTGTAACCTTTAGAGTATTGCGGTTAGCCTTTAGGGCTTATTGCCCAGGCCCTAAACGTCTGATGGCCCAAAGCCTAGACTCCAAGCCCTAGGCCCTTTACCTTTGCTCTCAACCTGCAAACCCTACACCCTGGGGCCTACATTCTAGACCCCAAAGCCAAAACTCGAAACCCCAAGCCCTGAACCCTAAGCCCTCAACCTGTAACCACCCTAAACCCTAAACCCTAAACCCTAAACCCTAAACCCTAAACCCTAAACCCTAAACCCTAAACCCTAAACCCTAAACCCTAAACCCTAGACCCTAGACCCTAGACCCTTGACCCTAGACCCTAAACCCCGACCCCTAGGCCCCCAGACCCTGGAAGCCCGGAAGCCCAAATCCCTGAGTTGAGGCGCAGAATTTGGCTGCTGACGTCGAGAGCAGGAGCTCTTTAGTGGCCAACCCATGTAGGGTTTAGGGTTTAGGGTTTAGGGTTTAGGGTTTAGGGTTTAGGGTTTAGGGTTTAGGGTGTAGCAACCCAGCAGTCGCGCCTCAGAACTCCCAACACAAACTCCAACCGAGGGGGTTTCGGGTGTGCGGGAGTCTTAGGGTTTGCGGTTTAGGGTTTAGGGTTTAGGGTTTAGGGTTTCCCTGGATATGGGCCATTGAAAGTGGACCCGGCAGATACCCCTTGTATGCCCTGTAACACCCCACCACCATATTAAGGACCCCATGTCACTACCCTTAGGGGTAGTTTTTTTCTCCATGGATTTTGTGGTGAACTGCTCGGGTTCATGTGGTCTCGGGCACTTTTAGCTCCTTGACCCTTAGCAGCCCTAAACCCGGAACCCTAAGCCCTAAACCCGAAACCCAAAACCCCAAACCGTAAACTCTAAACCCTAAGCCCTAAGCCCCAAACCCTAAACCCTAAACCCTAAACCCTAAACCCTAAACCCTAAACCCTAAACCCTAAACCCTAAACCCAAAACCCAAAACCCACCCTCCACCCGCACACCCGAAGCCCAGCAGGCGTCTGCCAGCAGCCGCCACGCTCGCCTTGGCAGATCTTGAGCCAACATGGGCAACTTGGACCCACAAAGGGTTTAGGGTTTAGGGTTTAGGGTTTAGGGTTTAGGGTTTAGGGTTTAGGGTTTAGGGTTTAGGGTTTAGGGTTTAGGGTTCAGAGTTTTGGGTTGAGGGTTTAGGGTTCAGGGTTCAGGGTTCAGGGTTTAGGCCAACTTGGACCCACAAACCTTAAGACCCTTGGACCCTTAAGGTGGTACCCTTGGGTTTCGGGGACCCTTTTTTTGGGCTTCATAAGGTCGTATAAGGCTTATGACGGGCAACTTAGGAGTATAGACTTGGAATGTTGCGGCGTGCTTGAAGGTGTATAGGGATTGGGGATTAGTGTTTGGGGTTTCGGGGGTTGGGATGTTCCCCCTTATGCTCAGCGTCCTTAATCGTGATTATAATCCGGGGGGGGGGGGTACTATAATGCTTATTAAGGAATGTTGGTATAAGGCGGGAACATCCCGTCACCTTATTACGAACCTTAAATCCGAGTAGCCCCATTTAGGCCCTTCTGAATTCCTTATGAACCCTTCTCCCCAAACCCTAAGAAGCCCCTGCGAGCACTTAAGCCGGCCTGTCAAGCTTCGCCCTAAACCTTAGATATCCTGCAAACGACCTACAAACCTTTCACCCCAAACCCTAGATTCTAGACAGCCTTCTAAAAAGTGATAAAAGCTTACAAACCCTTCGCCCTGAACCCTCAAAGCCCTTTCGATCCCTTCAAAAAACACCTATCAAACCCTTAGCCTCGAGCTTTAAACCCCCTCGGACGCGTTTTGGGGCGTAGCTGTGGGAGCTTGCGAGATCTAGGCGCCCTAAACCTTAAACCCTACACCCTCAACCCTCAACCCTAAGTCCTAACTCCTACGCCTTAAGACCTGAATCCCGAGCCCTACTAAGCCTTAACCCCTAAACCTTAAACCCGAACCCGCCCCAGCCCCAAAGCCTAAACGCAAAATCCCCCAAACCCCAAATCCTAAACCATAAAGCCCCCAAACCCCCCAAACCCACAAAGCCCCTAGACCTCCCCTAAAACCTAAGCCCTAAAAACCCTAAACCCTAACCCCTAAACCCCTAAGCCCCAAACGTCGAAACCTGTTTTCAGGCTCCCCGTTCGGTGGGAGCCACCGTCGAGTCCGCTCCCGTCGCCAATGTCATTTTTCCCGCCTGAGGCAACAGTTCAATAGGAGGTCGTGGTTCAGGGGTTTGGGGTTCAGGGGTTAGGTGTAGGGTGTTAGAGGGCTTGGAGGGTTTGGAGGGTTCAGAGGGTCTAGGGGGTTCAGTTTAGAGGGTTCAGAGGGTTTAGGGGGTTTGGCGCATGCGGCTTTGGAGGGGGGGCATCGGTGTTTGGGGTTTAGAGCTTTTGGGGCTTCCAAGTTTAGGGTTTAGGGATCAGGGTGCCGCTCATTCTACCGACGACCTAAACCCTAAACCGTAAACCGTAAACCCTAAACCCTAATCCCTAAACCCTAAACCCTAAACCCTAAACCCTAAACCCTAAACCCTGAACCTTCCTGGGCTTTGGTCCAACTGCAAGTTGTTCAACTTTTCGGGCTCACGATGTTTAAGGGGTGGATGGTTCCGCAAGTAGCCTTCGTATCTTTGGTTTCAGCATCCCTCGGGGGGTTCTGCATAGAGCTCTAGACATTTCACGTGTGTGCATACCTATGTCACATGTATACATACATATATAGAGGGTTTAGGGTTTAGGGTTTAGGGCTTAGGGTTTAGGGTTTAGGGGATATGGTTTGGTGTTCAGGGGCCGGGGATGTAAGGCACATTTATATTTGAGGCCTTGTTGCCTAGACTCAGTGTGCGACTTGTCCAAGTCAGGAGGCCCATTTATAGGGTCTTCAGTGTGGTTTTCAGGGTGTTTAGGGTTTATTAGGGTTTATAGGGTTTACAGGGATTATAGGGTTTATAGGGACTATGGGGTTTACAGGTTTTGTGGGGTTTTTCCATGCTGCTGCTTCGCGTCTTAGCTAAAGATCGTGCTAAAGAGAGGTGCGTGCTCCGGAGCCTAAACCCTAAACCCTTAACCCCTCCAACCCCTAAACCCTAAACCCTAAACCGTAAACCCTAAACCCTAAACCCTAAACCCCTCGCAGCTGTTTCAATAGCTTCGCGGAAAACGCGAAGCGCGGGGGGAGCCGGGTAGTGCGTTAGGGGGTCCGCACCAGTCACTAGACAAGGCTTATAGGGCTCAGGAGTTTCAAGTCTATGGTTAAAGTACTTTGTGGTGCTTTACTGTAACTTTAGATCCTTAGCCTTTTTGGGTTTGTTGGGTTTCTTAATATGGCAGCTAAAGGTTTGATTTGTTACTACCCTCCTAAGTGGTGGAAGTCAGCTTAGGGTTCTAACCCAAGGGTTTAGGGCTTACAAGGAAGCCCACCGCAGACTTGGGTCCCTGGGATTCGTCCGCCATGCGCCTGTTACTGCTTCTGTTGCTGGCATGCGCCTGGCCAACGAGGTGGGGCTTAGGAATTCGGGCTCAGGGTTCAGGGTTTAGGGCTTATAGGGCTTAGGGTTTAGGGTTTAGGGCTTAATTAGGGTTTAGGGTTTGGGATTTAGGGTTTAGGGTTTAGGGTGGGCTCAGGGCTTCCCTGGATCCAGATACGGTTGGCTTACAGTTAATTTCGCGTTCCTGTTCCCAGGTGACTTCATTCCCCGGCTTGGTGCCCCTAGTCCCTAAACCCTAAACCCTAAGCCCCAAACCCCGACCCCCAAACCCCAAACCCTAGACCCTAAACCCTAGACCCTAAAACACTACATATCAGGCTCTGTATGTAGAGGTAAACCCACCCGGACAGAAGTCCTGCGGGCTATACGTTGAAACCCTAAGGGTCCATCTTCCTATATCGTATACACTTGGAGCCTAGAGCCACTATATGTGAACCCCTTGAGGGCAAAAAACAGATACAAAACACGTACAAGTGGACCCTTAGGGCAAACCAACAATCCCAAACCCTGAGCCAAGCCTGCGTATTTTCTCCTCTGCAAAGGGTAAGATGCCCATAGTCAGTAAGTACCCTTATTCCCTTTTTTGGGGGGGTTAGGGTCCCTTGTCAACCCCTTTAAGCAAAAAGGGCGCCTTTTTCATCTTTATTGCTGGGCAACCTAGATGAATGTTTAGGATCTGCCTTTTTTTATTCACTTGTGTGCTAGTACTGTTAGGTTTTTTTTGGGTGGCCTTTTTCCTGTCTCCATACGGGGGGGGGGGGTTTGGAATAACCTTTCAACTTCTACTATATAGCCCATCGAACTGTAGTCTTCGTAGGGCCCGCAAAATCCCGGATTAGGAGGTAGGGATCTAAGGTCGAGAGCTTGTCTACCGAAGCCCACTTGGGCAAAGATCGATGGGCCCATCGCATTCGACACCTAAACCCCGAACCCTAGACCCTAAACCCTAAACCCTAAACCCTGAACCCTAAACCCTAGACCCTAGACCCCAGACCCCAGACCCTAGACCCTAAACCCTAAACCCGGGGGCTGGAGATTCGAAAGCTTCCGCGACCATGGACCAAAAGGATTCGGAAAGCCAAGAAGTCACCCCCAAAGACATTCCTCCAAGAAGCGAGATGCAGTTTACTCAATGGGCATTGGGCTCCTTTGTTTTGTTTTTGTTTTCTTTTCCCCCCCCCCCCCCAGGGTGTGTGGTTTAGGGTTTAGGGTTTAGAGTTTAGGGTTTAGGGTTTAGGGTGTAGGGTGTAGGGTTTCCAGTGAGCCCCAGCGAGCCCCTCTCCCCCCTCCCTCCATGGCTCCAGGTAGAGGCGAGGCCCCTGAACCCTGAACCCTGAACCCTGAACCCTAAACCCTAAACCCTAAACCCTAAACCCTAAACCCTAAACCCTAAACCCTAAACCCTAAACCCTAAACCCTAAACCCTAAACCCTAAACCGGTTACACGTCGCTTCAAGATGGTGAACTAAGCCCTAGTCGCTACATGGGTTTGGGGCTCAACATAGGGTTTAGGGCTGAGGGTTTCGGCTCTAGGGTTTAGGGCTCCTAAACCCCTACATCCCCAAACCCTAAGCCCTAAATCCCGGACCCGAACCCCTAAACCCTAAACCCCTAAACCCCTAAACCCCTAAACCCCTAAACCCTAAACCCCTAAACCCTAAACCCTAAACCACTTCCATCATAAAACCCTAAACCCTAAACCCTACACCCTAAACCCTCAATGTGGTGCACAGGAGCTCATGGCAGCAAACGATCGATTCGGCCGGCTTCCAGCGAACGATTGTGGAGCAGCTGACGGCGGAGACCCAAGCCCGAAACCCTAAACCCGAAACCCTAAACCCTAAAACCCGAAACCCTAAAACCCGAAACCCTAGACTCTAAATAGGGTGTAGGCTTTGGAGTTTAGGGCTTCAGGAAGGGTTTCGGGTTTGAGGGGATCAAAGGGGCTTAAGAGGTTTAGGGTTTAGGGTTTAGGGTTTAGGGTTTAGGGTTTAGGGTTTAGGGTTTAGGGTTTAGGGTTTAGGGTTTAGGGCTAGGGTTAAGGGTTTCGGGTTTAGGGTTTAGGGTTAGGGTTTTAGGTTTCCTGTCTCCAGGAGTTGCTCCTTATTGCCTCGGGTATCGACCAAGAGGGCAACAAGAGAAGGACCCCTGCCAGATTCTGCTTGCCCTGGGGGGGGGGGGGGGGTTTAGGGTTTAGGGTTAGGGTTTAGGGTTTAGGGTTTAGGGTTTAGGGTTTAGGGTTTAGGGTTTAGGGTTTAGGGTTTAGGGTTTAGGGTTTAGGGTTTAGGGTTTAGGGTTTAGGGTTTAGGGTTTAGGGTTTAGGGTTTAGGGTTTAGGGTTTAGGGACTCTGTTCTGAAAAGAACCCCAATAAGGTACATGAGTAGATGTGGAAGTTGTCCCGCAAAACGGAAGTTGTCCCATTCCCGCTGTGCCCTGCGGGAACGCTGCAAAACTGTGATACCATGTCACATGGGCTATGTTCTCAGATGGCTTGTGAGGGCGTGCCACTCGGGAACGGCCACAAAGAGCTCTCTTTGGCACATATGTCGTTACTCGCCTTAGTGCCTTAGTGGGCTGGGCGTCGGTCGGCCAACTTGCCGATTTGTTGCCGGAGCTTTCTGGATTGCAGGCCAGCCTTTTAAACCGCAGTCTCCGTCGCACTGTTTGGCGCCCGGGACATCTGGAAGAATGCCGCTGCGTGACGACAAAGCCCCCTGTAATCTGGCTCGGTTCTTAAAAAAGAAACTGTGCCCTGCGGCGGGCATGCTATCTCAAGGGTGTGGTGGGCATTCTTCAAGAAAAAGAGCCTGTGCCCTGCGGGGCGGCCAACCGTTGAAGATGATTTTGGCTTGTGTTGAGGGTCCTTGGCAGCGGCATTCTCGAGGGTACAGTCGTGTGAAGTCCGAAATGGTTTTGAAAGCGTGGCTCTTGAACACCGCTGTGCCCTCGGAGAACGGCCTCTCGGTCAACTTCTGCACACGTGGGGTAACTTCTGTGCTAGGGGGCTGGGGTAACTTCTGACTTGTGGGGTAACAAACACGCACGCTCGTACCCCTAATTTCGGAACCCCCCAAATCAGGACTTTTGGGTCTAGGGTTCAGGGGTTTTAGGGTGTAGGGTTCAGGGCTTAGGGTCCAGGATTTGGGTTTAGGGTTTAGGGTCCAATCTTTTTTTGGTTCAGGTGTTTCAATCGCTGCGCTTGCAGTGTAGGCTTCAGTGTTCTTTGGCCGTGGCGAACAGTTGAGGAGCTTTCGTTAGACGCCTTTTGGCGACGCATTGTCATACAACTATCAACAGCCACTCACCATTGTCCACGCTTCACTTTCTTGCATTTGCCATCTTTGAACACACCGTTTACAGCAATACATGACAAAGCAATACAAAGCAGTGAATTTGGGAGCCGGATGGTCCTTTTCTGGTGGCTTTAGGGTTCAGGGCTGAGGGCCTTTTGTTCAGACTGTTTCTCCTTCGATGTATCCTCTTGCCAATACGGTATCCTACTCTGAAAAGGTCCACAGCGCGCGACAATGGCTCAGGACGGAAGCACCACAATAGTTTGCGGTTTGGCGAACTTGAGGCTCACCATCTTCGCCGCTGCACTCACCGAGCCTCCCTGGCCTGCTTGGTACGCCGGCCTTTCGGTACGCCTGAGCCTCCCTGGCCTGCGTAGTGTGGCAACATTTCGGTGCCGTTGCGCGCATGAGCCTCCC